GAATATCACACAGTGCATACAAATTCCCTATCGCAAATGACACAGAATCGGAAATAAAGGAATATAAAATCTGAAGCACAAGGTGGTGGTGGTCAAACTATTTATCTTTCTGTTACTGGATCGCACTACTTCATAAAATCAAGAAATTTAAATCCCATCACTCCAGCAGTCANNNAGTCATTCAAGTTCGGTTGGGAGATAATGTTGCCGACAACCTGCTTAATACTCCATCTCCGAATTTGTCACTAATTTCGACAACTATACGCAGTTATAAGAATGCACAGTGTAGGCAAACATATGTTTTCGGTGAATTCCTTTCTCGGTCTTCACAATCCTCTTTATGTGAAACAATAGGGTGGAACTGGAAGGTGGATGAGTCATGTGTTTGGTAATGAGTTCGGCAGAACTCTTAATTGGTACATTGGTTTAAATAAACCAAATTCGCCGTTACGTTTTGGCATATGAACAAGCGACTTTCACTTCCCTTGGTCAAAGTGAGACTCCGCAACTGTTGAGGCCGTCGAGCGGCACCGAATTCTACGATATTGGAGGCTAACAGAAGAGAAAACCCCTAGTTGATTGACAATTAACTCACGGCGTCCTAACGGAACACCAGCAGATAATTAGGGCTTTTCTATCCAACACACTTGTATACTGAAGCTCTTTCAAGATATTGCTTTGATGGTTGTATTGCAGCGAACTCATAAAACATCCCGGTATTGGTAAACTCTTTAAAAAATACATCCTACGGTTACTGAACTATGGTAATTGAAACACATGATACTTGTAAGATGTCTGTCGCTCACAATTGATAAGATCGCTGCTTTTTCTTTGCTTGAATTTTGACATACAAACGTTATCACTATAGATGACATGGACTGCGGAACATTGATTGAAGCTTCGTTCTGAATAAAACGGTGAGGCGAATATTAATTTCAATCACTAGACAATCAGCTACTATTTCATGATTTGATCTGGGTTGTCTCTACATGCATCCTCGCAAGAAGTGAACTCTTCGATCTCGCAAACTAAACACAAATAAAATGCATCCAACAATGCCTCCCAATCCACGGCGAGCGATGTTTACCGAAGCAGTTAGTGTGTGGTAAAACTCTAACTAGGTGACTCTGTCATATGGATCGCGTTAGGCCCATTGTATGGGGACTTCCGGATCATTATATTCAATGGTTAGAGATATTGAGTGATATGGCTGAGTTTTCTAGACAGTGGCGCGTTCGCAACCTACGGAAATTCTCAGTTTTTTCTTCGACTCAACTTATAACTTTCCTGCCTTTCTCCCATTGCTTCTTCCAAACGGGCAGCCGAAACCGGCTCACGAAAGTGCATGGCTAATGGCTGTAGTAAAACTGGAACTGGAGAAGACGGGGATCTTCCAGCTCCCCGAAATGAGCTAGTTTGTTGATCAATCAGACTTAGAACATGAACATTACAACTCCTCTTTTTCACTTTCATAATAGACGCATCATCACCCTTAGACTGCTCTGAAGGTTTTATTCACCATTGGCCGCAGTTGATCTGTTTCTCGGCAGTTGTGGACAACAAATAAGCGCCGTTGGTTGGAAACTAAGGAATATGGCTTCAAATTGAAATCNATTGAAATCAGTGGCATGAATGTGTCTTGCGGGAAAGTTCGGATCCATTCTCCAACATAAAAGTTGTCGAGAATTTTTACAATGTAAAACGGTTAGAAAAGTACCCACTTTTCTGTCTCACTATTTCATCATAATCATTGCATGCACATTATCTCCTAGCTGTTTTTATTAGTCTTTTTGCACCGTCCACACCTTGCTCGATTCGAGTGATCTAATGTCCGTTACCCTTTTTCTTTGAAAATCGCTGNNATCGCTGCCTTTTCACTAATCTGCTAAGGACTGGCACATCTTGGAGTGTAATCAATACTTAACATCTCTTTCTTTATTTTCAGCTGGTCTTTTACGAAGAACAACGGATGCAACCTAGGACTGCCACTTCAAATGGAACTTCTATTTCATGAGGACATCCCCATGTCTACCATTGTTGAGCAAATTGAGGGATGTGCTTGCAAATCGCAGTGTTGTCTCACGTCCACAAACCAATGCCGGTGTCGACTGAGATCGACCAATCCATATAATGCCGTCGGTCTGTTGACCAACTTTTCTGCTTCATTGTTCGAGTGCAATTCGAACTGCGTGTGCGAAATGACTTGTCCGAATCGTTTAGTGCAAGTGCGCCTCCGCAACGCAACACAATTTGCTCCTGGTAGTAAACACCCGATTTATCGAATCACTGAAAAATCGGATGTTGGAAAGGGTCTCGTAGCCAATCGAGATATTGCCTGTGGTGAAATGATTTGTGCATATTTGGGCGAAGTAGTTCCTCCTGAAGTAGGTCGCTTGCGAGAACTAGCTCAGCGAAAACGTTACGGACGGACGTATGTACTGACGATGCGTGAGTACGCACATGAGCGATTGGTTGCGGAGACTTGCATCGACGGGGACGTCAGTTTGCCGAATTCCGGTCAACCAGATGCGCGTCTGGTGAATCACTCGTGTGATGCCAATGTGACCGTGATCCCGGTCCGCGTGGACAGCATCATTCCATATGCTGTCTTGTTTGCCAATCGATTCATTCCACGAGATACCGAACTCACTTATGATTACGCGGACGGAGTCCCGACGGAGTATCGATTAACCTCTGGAACTCAGTGTCGGTGCAATTCCGCTGACTGCATGGGGTACCTACCTTGCGTTGAATAAAACGATTCAATAACCAACGGTACAAAGCCTAACAGATTCTTATTTGGTGGTTCACACGAGCGACCTTGCAGTGTTTCACTGGCGTTGATGGCTCACTCCGACATGCAGACACCGGTGGAAGCTGGGGACAAACGATGACCGGTGGTGGAGTACCACTTAAATGGAAGTGTTCGGTGTGACCCTTGAGTCGCTTATTGTATTCGGTATGCTGACTTGTGTTAGCATATGGATAACCTGACAAATAGTTCATTGCCCCAGTAGTGGGTGGCCAAACTAAGACCTGACACGGGTATGAAAACCCTGACCAGGAGTCTGGGTCCCATAGGTCCCGTTAGGTTCCCTGGCTGGGGACTTGAGGTTGATCGTACCCGATGGTTAGAGACACTGAATGATATGGCTGGGTGTCGTAAACAGTGGCGTTCTTGCATCTTCTCAATTTCTTTGTTAACTTAGACCACTGAAGTTCTCCATTTTCTGTTCGACTTTCCTGTCTTCTCCTATTATTCATCCAAATGGGCAGCCAAAAGACAGCAACCAAATCCTTCGCACAAAAGTGCATGGTTAATGGTTGTTCAAACTGAACTGAGTACTATGCAGATTTTTTGCAGAAAGATCTCGGCTACTAGCCCCACACATTCCGTTTTGGTATTTTGCAGTTCTGCTTTCATTCGGGTAAATGTTACATATTTTTAATGGAACTTTCGGTGTTATTGGTTGAACTTTGCTAGCACGTAATGGGTGGTTATGAATTGCTAGAAATGGAGACTTTATCTCTGTATTATATATTTTTATTCAATTGTTGTATTTCACACACGTCTGAATCCAGACCGTACCAATGATCTTTATACAAAAGAAAAGTTCCACGATTTACTTGTGGGCGGAATACTGCCAGGTGACCCGGGTCAAGNCTGTTCGTGACCGGTATCCAGTTCATCGGATCATACTCCCTTTGGACGGGGCCAAGCGTTTATGGTGCCCACTTGAGCCGATGACCACTTTCACAACCAAGGTGTAAGTGGGTGTGCTTCGTATGCCTCTGTCTGGAATCAGGGTTTTTAGCCAACTATCCCAGGTGAACTGCTAGTGGTTCACCAATCGGATTATGGCCCCGGATGTTAACTTTTGGTTCTCTCACTTTGGTGGGACAACACGTCCGCCACGGGAAGGCAGTGAGTAAGGCTTCCTCAACAGAGGCTGCTTGAGATGCTTGGTCGTGAGGGAGCATTTTGTGAGGTGCAAGGGAAGGGTGACTAGTTACAACCTCAAACACCCACCCTCAACTATTCTTAGGCTTTCGGAGGTTTTTTATTACATACCATTTTTTGATAAAAAGTTGAAGAGATGAAAACCTTTACTGATGAGGACGTGTTGTTTGCGTATAGTATCGGATAGTCTAAGCATTGCCAGGTCGAGTGATAAGCTACATGAGACCTAGACGGGTTTGGCGCCTTATTGAACCGTGCGACAACGATACTCCCAGGCGGCATTTAAGTCGAAAGCAGCAAATTTGAGTTGGTAATTTTTGAATAGACCTAAATATGGCAGTATGACCATCTCTTCAGGATACGACCAAATATCATCAGCATATTCTTATTTTACAAGTAGGTTCTCGTGGCTACAGTATTAAACTTTTTCATCATCTCATTGAATGTAAGTTATTGTCGGATAGAAATTGGTAGTGTTCAATCGTAACATATTACTCGACAGCAGTGTCGACCAAACACCTAACTTTATGATACATCGAGTATAAGCTATATACTCCCTCTAACAGCGAAACTGATAGGACATTTTGTGTTCACCAGCGTGAACCATCAATGCCAAGCTTGAACTGATTGATCTTTTGTGGAATGAGTTACATCAGATGTGCAAAACTCTCACATGTATACACATATGTGGATCACTGGAATTGCAGCACGGTTCCGCACAAATAAAAATTTTATACACCATGGATTCATAGTTTCGCACAATTTTTAATAGGAGTGTACCTTTACCTTGAGCAAAAGTTCAGTAAGATCTCTGAGCTGTCAGTCCTGTTTAAAGGGACCGGTAATAGACCATTATTATGCCTAAATTCATTCGGACCGCCGTTAATATACCGGGGTCACACTAGAATGAACTGAGTGGTTAAGAAAATTAAAATCTTTTGTTGTGGCATTTCTCCGGCTTTAGCTCTTTATTTTGCCCAGCTCCTACATGTTGCTCAAATATTTACTCCACCATGTGCAGACGAATCTACACTCGGTACATAGAACAGCTAAAGACGAATTTATATGTTATTGTGTGCTTCTCCAGATGGAGGATAGGAGAAGAATGGTTAGTTGTGAATAAAACTAGGTTTCTCACTAGAAAATTGGACGCCAGTGAGCATAGGCAGAACCCAAAGCTATGATGATTTTTCGCTTGGTTATAGAACGGTATAGTAGTCTGACTACGGCAACCTCACATGATTAATGTGAATCACCACCGATACGGTCATCACCAGTTAACCTGCTTCCCCCAATCGATAAAGCTTTTCCGAGGAGACTGGTCGGGCAAACCATTGGCCACCAGCTTGTCTGGAACAACTCCGCCACCTTGCAGGGCGCTTCTGTGAATAAAAGGACCAGAAGTGCAGGTTGAAATGGAAGGACNGGAAGGACCAAGCGATCCTATGGACACTTTTTGTAATCCTATTCCCAAGACTTCCTCTGTGGATCGTTGCGGTCCATTTAGCCGCTTCCGCTGCTGGCAGGAGAGCCGTGCAGAAGTAGATGTAAATACCCAGTAAATGGTTCTTTAGAGGCACCTAATCGGGTTCAGAATAGCCTAAACTCACAAAATATCTCAGATAAATTATTCCTTCGAAGCACTTCGCACCGTGCTTGCCGTTCATACCGGATGGTGCGGATTTCAGGACACGGGGGTGCTATTTCATACCGCTAGCAGTACATATTCTGGCGGATAAAGTTATTTAAGCCATCACGACCAATTGAAATAACCTTAATCTTCCATTAACCAAACCGGTAAATAATGCGAATTCATCAGGGGGTATTGGTTTCGTGTGTGCGCCTGTAGTGGTTCCCTCCCATCAGAAAAAACGTCCCGAGAATGATTCTGGAATGTTCTATCTTGTAGGATAAACCTCGAGAATTCGCTTTTGTACAATACATTCCCGATTAGTTGTGCATCCTCATAGTTTACTACACTGAGTTCATCTTGAAAACCGGAGCGGGGGTGGGGTGAGAGATGACAGAGTTGATCGGGTCAGACTCCACTGACAAATTGATATTGACCCTGAAATGCCGGGGCGGTCCGCGTCAGTCGAGTTCTCAGCAACTGAACCAATTTGTGCAGTTTGTGATTTTCCATTTTCAGTTGAAGCAACGGATTGCGAACAGATGTATCGTGCGATTTTTGCTCGTCTCGATCTAATGTACCCGATCCAGTTGTGATGTGTTCCGGAGTTGGGTTTGATTGTTGCATTCTGAGTTGGATTGTGGCGAGTTCTCGTCGAACATGACGCAATTCACTCTTGGTTCGGACCAGAGTGGCTTCCGTTTGCCGCGTTTTTTCGTGTTCCTGTTTCAGATTGTCACAGGTCTCTTGCAACACGGTAGACAGGTACTGCATGGTTGTGTTGGGGGATAGAAAAAGGAAGGAGGGCAGACAATTGATAGGTTGATGTGTTCAACGACTGCGATAAGATAAATGTTACTTCCATTTTCAGACTGAGCTGGTTTGTGTTTAGAATGTTTTTGATTATGCGTTCCGTTTTGGTTAAATTTGGAATTCACCGAAATAAAGATCCGTTGTACTCACATTGGGGAACATGTTTTCTGTGCTTTTGTTCATTGGGAAGGTGGTGGCGCAGTGATTCAGTCGCTGTTACCGGCGTGCTTTTGACCCTATAGTCCGAGGCTCGAACCGTGACACCCAATGTTGTTGGTAGGCAGCTTTTCTGTCGTCTGATTCATTACCACATCTGACCTATCTGGGGCCTTATGTAGTTCGCCGCTCCAAGTCCCAGTGCTTAGGTAACCGGTCATGTAACTATGTTTACCCCGTCCGGTGTTCATCACACAAAATGTGAAATAAAACGAAATTGCATTTGTATAATCTTATTATTGAGCTTTTTCCTTTTTAGAGAGGTTATTTTACCTAGATTTGTTTGACACAGTCTGAATTAATATACTTGTGAAATATAATGATAATAATAATAATCCTAGTATTGTTCATTGGAAGCTACCAAAATTATGACTAATGGGCTATTCGCATGCTGATTGGCTTTAGTCGGCTTTCTTTGACTGTTTTTATTCCGTCTGGGCAAACTAAGTGTTCGGAGGTGGTGAACTGGCACTTCCTCTCTTGTCTCACGCGTGTGACGCTTAGTTCATGCGCATATTGAAATCAAATGCCCGAAGCAATCAAGAGATTATTGAGGAGTATTGCACTTTAAACATAAACATCAGGAGTGCGCATCTCAACTCGCATGTTGTATCGGTGCATAAAACAAAATAGAAAACAACACATCAGTCGAAGATGACATATCGAAGTTCATGGTTTGTAAGAAGGACCGGTGAAGCATCGATGAAATTATCTGGTTCGCGAAACGCTGAGTAAACCCGTGGCTCATCATCTAAAAGTATGAGAAAAGGTGCAGCTGTTTTGTGGTTCTTAAGACCATCATCATGGTGGTGGTGCCGCAGTGGTTCAGTCGCTGTCACCAGCGTGCTTTAGACCCTATGGTCCGAGGTTCGACCCCCGCCACCCAACTTTGGTGGTACGCAGCTCTCCCGTCGTCCAGTTCAATACCACACCTAAGCTATCGGAGCCTTATGTGGTTCGGCACTCCAAGTCCAGGGGCTTAGGTTACTGGTTTCCATCACTGAACAGCAGGTCCTCGGGACTATGGGGCTTTCCCCGTCTGCTGTTCATCACATGAAAGTGTGCAATAAAAAAAATCAGCAATACATATCTCCTGATCCCACTGGGATTCAAACTCAAACCAGTTGAACTATCCGGGCTGCTTCTCATCAGTGTGCTTCAATTCGATACTGTGCGCTTTTCTTGTCCCCTGTCCTTGTAAACAGATATACCAACTTTCATCGGAAAAAACATCAAGTCAGTTGTGGAATTTATCTGGTTCGACTGACTCAATACTTGAGAATTTTAAGAAAGGGTTGGGAATGTTCACTGCGTTGGGTGTTGATTACTGAAAAGAGATCAATGTGATCGATACTGCACCACAATGAGTTGATTAAGCGTTGTTTATGTCAGCCTGTCACTAAACCTCGTCTCACAATACTTTTCCCAACAATTTCAGGCAAGAGATAGTGCGAGCACTTATTGAAAACGCGTTGACTAATGGAGAACAGTTCTTTTAATCTTCTCCGTAGCTTACTTAAAATAAACAATATATATATATATATACTTGTCCGAATATGCCGTCAATACCCATTGCGAGAAAACAAAATAGCGAACAAGCTCATTTGCGGTGATTCTTCTACAAGCTAATACATCTCGGTTTATATCAAACGGTTTAGAAGGGGGGATAAATCAAGACAAGTTGGGAAAGAGATAATCAACATTCCAGTTCCATGGAACTTTGGTCCTCACACATGCGCACTGGTTCGGGTCATTAGGGGTGGGTGGAGGGATGACTGTGTTGTGTGTAATGTTGGCCATGGAAGACCAAGTGTTCTTAGATCGGCTGGTGCGAACCAAGTAGAGGGGTCGAAACACCTCGGCCACATTAATTACGTGGTTTGATTCCACTGGGTGTGAAACGATTGAGCTGTTAATGATCCTAATTACTCCACTGTTCAACCAGGCCGGGTGGTGCTCACGGACTCGTTCAGAGAAACGCCTGCTCATGCGGCCAATGTACCTTGCCCCACAGGAACAGGTAAATAAGTACACACAGAAAGACGGCCGAAACAGGCAATTTATCTTCGAGTTGAAAGCATAGAAGTGGCCTAGAGTTGAACATAATACACAGTTTTGCTGCAGGGAATGCTTTTTCTACAACTGTACTGAGCTTACGTGTCACCAAATCGGCAGTCGTGCCGCCTCGGTCTTCCATGGCCAACCAACACACGACACAGCCACCCCCACCCATTCCTAATGACCCGAACCAGTGCGCATGTGTGAACAACATCCGGTCATGGAACTGGAGTGTTGATTATCTCTTTCCCAACTTGTCATGATTTCTCCACCCTTCTAAACAGTTTGATGTAAATTGTGATGTATTAGCCTGTAGAAGAATCCCTGCAAACGAGCTTGTTCGCTACTTTGTATTTTCTCACAATATATTTACTTGTTTATGTGGTTATTCAACTTTGGTGAATAAACGTGTTCAAGCATACAAAGATCACTAAGCAGTGAAGTAGAAGGTCAACTCAACGGTAAGTGGATTGAGTGTGTCAAAAACGTTTGTGTGCCTAAGGTCGGATGACGTAATCGCAATGCTAAACCGTGGAGTTGACCTTCTACCTCTATGTTTAGTGATCTTTGTATGCCTGTACATGTTCTTTCACCATAACTGAACAACCCCATGTGCTATATATATGCTTGTTTTAAATTAGCTAATTAGAAAATTAAATTAAATGTTAACATCTCGCAACATTTGTCTTCTTTCTATGTTGATTAAATAGATAAAGGGGACCCAGTGCTTCGAATTTCTAATGGAGAACAGTGTCGTATTAATAGGGTTGTGCACTGTATTGATTCTTCCTGAATGGAAAATCCGAAAACATCGAAGAAAAGAACGGATCGATCAGATTACAGTATTCTCTCCGTTATCCTGGCTTCCACGGATCCACTAACATCGAGAAAACACCGGTGATTTCCACGGTGGCAATTGGTCCAAATCCATTTCAAATGGATGCTGTAGGAATTGTCAGGGGAAAGTCATGTTTTCTCTTCCCTTAAGTTAATGTACAACTGACGCAATAATCTCCAGGCCGGTGTGGTGATGGCGGAGTGTTAAAAATTCTGACCGAGATTCGTTCCTATCCGGATAAACTCGTATTCATAAGTGTTCGTGTGATCTGCAAAAATGCACATCAATGGATGAACTGTAGTCGAATCTCGCCAACTTCACAGCCCCGCCGTTCTGGTTCAGTGGTGCCATTGTGAGAGGTGGTCAGCTTACCGAATTTCAGCGTCACACATTTAACTTAAGCCTTATTTTAAATGTTCTGCGTGTTGTGCAATAATTGATAGCATTTTAGTTTTCTCTACAAGAGTGGTGTTTTTTTCACTCATCGCCCTAACGCAAGTTTAACAACGGTCTTGGAGACGTTGCGAACATCCTTTAAGTGCAGTTTGGCAAAATAATGCACTGGTCTTTCCTGGAGACGAGAGACTAGGATTTCGGTGTTACCTGAGCTGAATCCACCACCAAATCACGCAACCGATCGGTAAAATTCGACTGCTGTAAGTGAGTCGTCCTCGCTTACTGTAGCGGTTGTTCTCCTTTGCCCTGAAGACCTTCTGTCCCTTATATGAATACTTTTGTAGATCGAAACAGGTCCTGTCAAATTTATAGTTTTTTTTGCAACAAAATGTTGTCTTTTACTAATCCATTTTGTCTAGTTAAGCTACAAATATAAACGCAAGACGTTGCGCGGCAAGGAATGGAGCAACATGCCGCACATGAGTGGGACAAACATCAAGGGGGCTGGCTTGGCTGCACGGAATNAATCCGTGAACGGTTTCCCAACGATTCAACCACATTGCTTATAATTCAGGCTTTGCTGCTTGTGTATGTGCCACACGATCATAATGCGGGATTCATCCTTCGCATATTGATCCATAAAGCAAGTAACCTACACTGAGCCCGCTTTTGATTGGTAACCAGTTAACCTAATTTGACCCCTGATCCTGACCTGTGCAGTTGAATATCGCGCAGTCACGTGTGAGGTGAAGCTTCGTTCTACTTCTCCACCTACAGGTATTGACCAAACTCGTGCAACATCCTGATTTTCATNACATTTGTTCCTCTCAATGCTTCGTTTTTCCAGCCTCATTTACGGGATTGAATATTGAATAATATTGCCCCACATCAGACGCAACATATCTGATATAATATCCACTTATATCACTGCTTCTGTTAGTCACATGCCATTAAAATGTACAATTTCGCAATTTCGGCGATTTTTGCTAATGCATCAGTTGCAAGATAACTAGGTCACAGTAGAAAACGTAACTGTAATTTATTTATTAAAATGACTCATAGACTTTATACAGGTATTGCACTTTCATCTCATCCAAGTACCGTTTGCTCCTCATCGTTTCTGCGCACTGGAGGCAGTCGCTTTAGGATGGAATCCACCAAGTTGACTGCCAAACAGAATTTGCAAGTTTCATCAAATTGAGCTGTCACTTTCCAAACGAAATCGTGGGGAAAAGATGGCTAATCAGCCCGGACTATCATCCAGATTGGATTTGTGCAACTATTCTCTGCTGAAATCAAATACAACTATCATCTTACTCTGCTATGGCTAGTTTTCTCCCTCTCAGTTTATGTCTTGATGAAGAAATTTCGTTGAATATGCAAAAAATTGGACTTATGTTCACATAGAAGCGCTTCCACAAGATGTCAACTGAGCCAGCAGATTCATGCGTCTCTCGTTTTAGCTGCTTCTCGGCTTTAATTATATACCAGAACCTTTTGGAAGTTTTATCCGGTTTGGGCATGGTGACACTACAGGACGCTTATTCAACGAGCCGCACTTCTCAAGGTCAACTTTCGAAGATCAACTTGTGTCTTTCTTGGACTATGTTTTCAGTTCTTCCAGTATTGGAGATAATGCGTGAGTAGTTTGTAGCCTAATAATTTAGCAATTTATTAATATTTTGAATAATTTGCTTATTTACTGTGCACTGAATGAAAAGAGAATAGAAATTTAGAATACGTGTGCTCAACCTAATAGAAACTCTCATAGGACACGAATCATCTATTAAAAAGAATGAACACCTATGCTACTTTGCCCAAAATATTTTCTAAATCAGAGCTGTAACTCTCGAACTACTGCAAATTTTATAGCGGCACTCAAGGTCGCGCACATTCATATGGTGATAACAATGAACAAAGAACACAAATGTTGTAGACAAAGTCGGGAATAAATACAGTTTACTCATAGCCATCTATATATAACTATGGTATTGCAAGCTGAAATGAATTTTCAAAATGAGGGTGATGTTGCACGAGTTTGGTCTTGATGGGGTTCACTTTAAGGCCATTCTTCATATCTACGTTTCATCTCTAACATGTATATCAATGTGCATAATAGCGTACACCTGTCTCGGGAGGTCTTTCGCTTTTACTGTTTTCCCTTTCGTGTAACAAAAATCCACCCATGCTCGAAGAGATACATACTTCAGCAATCAGTGTTCAGTTAATGCTTGATAACTTCTTTAGTTTCTGTGATTGGTAGATAGCCTCTTCCAATATATGCTACATGAGTTTCTTCAAATAGTTGGTTGTTTGGTTAGTTTTGTTCCATTCACTAGAACGACGTAGCGACATTGCGAATATTGTTTACCTGCTTTTGCAAGCAGTAACCTAGTACTGTTAAAGAAGTGCAACATTCGAGAGATTTTCCAGTTGAGTTACTGGAATAATAGATCGAGTATTTGAAGCTTTCTGTAGCTGTAACATAAGCAAGTTTTGACTGTGTTAAAAAAGCGCCCGGATGGAACAATGTAAGTAACTGTTGAGGATTCTTGAAGTGAAGGGAAAGAATGCAACAGCGAAGACCCTTCACGTGTATCGCACATTACTTCGACAATCACTGAATCAAGCATAGTAAGATGGAAGAAAAACGAAACGGACTAGTCAGGTGCAAGCATGAAACTCACTGTAGAGCTTAATCAGTCAATCGGACTCACTTTAAGCCAACCCACTTCATTGCGCAACTCTTCAATTGCTTGTTGCCGTTCTTCTGAGTCTACTTGGTCTAGTTGTTTGATTTCTTCTCGTGTTTCGTGTACGGCTTTTCGGCGTTCTGCACGAATCTGTGAGATGGGTATGGGAGTCGAATGAGGATGTGATCAATATTCTTCAATAGTTTAGTTCCTAAACCTCAGGTGCTCCTTAGGAGATTTTTTGATCGGTCAAGTTCGGTTCAACGTAGACACTGTCATTAGACAAACTAGCGTCATTGACATTTGGGGTTACAATGTTATCCCCCAAAAAGTGAACATTACAGGGGCAAACTGAATCTATTTGCTCTTAGACGCACACCATGATACAACTTTCAGGTGGCCAATCAGAAACGAATTTCCAGACCAATCGCGTTGTCCCAAGCGGCCTCAATCGGATTGGCTGAATGCAAGAAGGCAACCGAACGAGCCATACTGTTGTCGATTGGACATCAAAGAAATGACCAACAATTGTTTGGCGCTTGTGGCAGTTATTTGCCTAATTTTCTGAACAGAATAAGCTGTATTCATACATTGTCTTGGTTCTTCCTGACTTTGCGGTATTCAGTGGGTTTTTTGTACGAATCCCACTTGATTTAGAATACTACTGACATTCAGAATGTGAGGATACTTGCTTAAAACGCGAAGAACAATTGTGTTAGCACCTCTCTGCAATCCGAGTTGGGAGTTTCTTCGCATCCATCACTTTTGAAATAAGATTGGAAACAAACTTATTGTGCTGGTTCCTTCCTTCATGTCGTTTATTAGTTATCGTGTCGTTGTTCCAGATATGAGCATGCTTGACTCAGTTTCTATCCTCCCTATTTCCAAAATAAATTCCACTCGTGATTCCTATGCAATTTTTTCACTAATACTCAGTGCTGTTACTTCTTTGTCGGGTACATTCTGAGATCAACATCTCTCCACATTTCCCAAGCGGGTCGAATTTCGACCTCAAACTAGTTTTGTTGCTGGTCTACTTTGCACATTCACGTAGTTTTGCCCGTCTTTCTACTCTGAATTACGATTGTTGTTCGGGGAAACTCCGTTCTTGAAAAACCGCATTAATTCAACTATTATTAAGACTTCCTGAGTTTAAAAAGTAATATAGGGAGCATACACGAAATTTCTGATCATCGACTGATGCTGTGCGTTAAATGACTTCCGTCAAGCATCTATAGATGGTCTAAAATTTCTATATGTGCTCATCCAGACGCTAAATTTGTTGCCTGGATGTAACAAGAGGATCTGCAGGTTACGTTCGGCCCAGGAGTAAGTTGTACCGGTTGTCACGGTGTGCAGATAAGTGACCTGTTAACCGTCTCTCTTGGGCTGGGGGGGGGGGTTCAGTCGGCACTGGGACAATATTGTTTGCTCAGACCGGTTGATCATTATTAAGGAGTACAATTGGATTCTTACACCCGAATGTGATTGTGGTTTTTGTATCCACCGCCCTATTTGTACATAAAACTCAGATCGGCTAACCGAAGTAAATATTAGGTTTCTCAGGGAAATACCGCTCGTTCAGAAAAAAATCCCAAGTTATTCACAGAACGGATGCTAGTACATGATCTTTCAGTGTTCCGGACCGAAACCCGATCACTAGGATGGTGATCGGGGCGAAGACTAACCTGTTTCATCAAACGACCAATTTGCTCCTTTGTTCGTTTCGCATGTTCTTCATGTGCCCGCTTTGTGGAAGCCAATTCCGCGTTGGTCATGCTCAGTTCACGTTGGACGAGGTTGTTCGCGGCTTGCGCCTGATCCAGTTCATCCTTCAGATCATCAAATAAAGTGCGTGTTTTTGCCAGTTCTTCTCGCGCTTTAAGACTGTCCTGTTGGGCTTCAATGTATCTCCAAGCCACAGCCTTTGATTGAGCTGCAGTTGTGGAGCGTGAAATAAAGGCACGTAAGATTTTGCGTAATATAGATTTTGGTTACTAGTAAGTAGCATACATTATAGCATTACTCTGTTTTCGTGGCCAGCAGAAAATTAAAAGTAAAATGAACCCAAGGTCAACCAGCCGGGGAACAGATGATTGCATTTTGATGCATATTGCATGACGGGAATGTTAGCGTAATCACTGGCGATATCTATATATGGCAGATTCAGCACGAGTTTAAAGATGAAATTCGATGATGACAATGCCTCAAAAAACCGGTATGATTTGTCGTCAGAGCTCCAGGTCAATCCCATTGAATGCATAGTGAACCTCGTGTTGGGAGCATATGATCATCTTTATTTACTTGCACCAAACGGGAACTATGTTTTACAGAACTCCCTTTTCTTCGAGGGTAACTTCTTTTCACGTAACGATTAAGATAATAACGAATAAGTGATAAAAGTATTTTCCGACTTCCCGAATTAAAAGTTACCAAGTGTTAGAATAAGGTTTGTGATTGTTTTTTAATGAAAAGGATTCGAGACGGGTATGGACAACTATATCACGATACTAATTTGATAGTTAAGCAATTGACTGCTTATTTTAGATGTTGCCATTAAAAAGGGTCAGAATAAGACAGAAATGGTTTAAAATGAGCATTCCTTCTGATAGAAAATGTGACCATTCGGGAAACACGTAATATCAAGGTTGTCATGGCCGCCGTCAGTTGTACAAGACATACAGAATGACGTTTAGAAAAATACGTGCACACCAGGAAGAATGGTGAAAACCCAATGAGTTGACTTACATTTTGAGGACAATTCTTCCACATGGGCGGTCAGAAAATCCACCTCACGCTCCAGTTCACGAATTCGAATAGATGTCGCCAGTTCTTTGTTTGAGGTGTTGGTGACATTTCCGAGTGGTACATCTTTGCTCCGTGAGGAAAGAGTACCATGTTTCAGATCGGCAATTGTTTTCTTTTGAGCAAGTCGAATCTGATGATAACACGAGGCGATAGAAAGATAGAGTAGGTCTAAATTATGTAGCGAACTAAAACGGAAATTATTTGAAGGAGAGGAAAGGATGAAAATGCTCCAAGGTAGAACATGCCACTGCCAGGATCCCCAAACAACGCCGTTGCTATATTTTATCTGGGAATGAAAGCTCAGACGGAAGCATGTTAGCAGTCAATGAAAAAGACATTTGCAGTTCACGTTTACCTGGGGCTAATGCGGGAAATCAATCAAACACGATTTAAATTCAAATATTCAAACTCACAGCCTGAAGTTTATCGATACGCAATTGAGCTGTGACCAAATGCTCAATCAGCTCTGCTTCACGTTTTTGTCCGGCATCCAGTTCGGCTAGCAGTTGTTGATTTTGAGCGGTCAGGCGTGCATTCTCTTGATCCACGTCCTACCGTGTGAAGAACAGATTGTTGAACGAGAAAAAAATAGTCTGGCTGTTTTTATAAAAATCAAGTAGGCAGTCAATTCTCTATTTGATCAATCTAGCGTTACACATTCGGTGAGGTCTCATCAGCAAAACGAACGACTAACATGATTAAATGAGATTTTTCGGTCAAGCCTCTTCTAAACCTGTCATTCAACCTTAGCCGTGGACGGTTTTAAATTCATCAAAATAAAATATTACAATGCTAGAAAGCATAACTTGAAAACCAAATCATAGGAGGGCCATTAATCCTTTTCCAGTCTTCGATTCTTGAGAGGGAAATAACTTTGGTTGAAACGACCACTATTATGTTCACTGAACTAACCTCTGTCCACATGCTCAAGATATCTGCCTTGGTCCATGTTCGTATGAGCCTGTGCGTAAACCAGGTAAAGTGGCCATATCACCAATGCCAATGGATTCATTGACACCTCAGTTGAACCCAATCTATAATGCTATAATGATCAATATTTGAATGACTGGGATACGTGAAGGGTTCTCGAAGTTTACCACCCTCGTTTTTCTGCATTTCAGTGCACTCCCACATTAAGCTGCCGCTAGGCCAGCTCAAGTTCAGTCTGACTGCTTTGGGTAGAGGATTATCGGAAGTCTAAGTGAAACCAATCCCGTTCCGATCGCTCGCCTCATTGCAAACGAGAACCAAATAGAACACGGAAGTTTCATGAACCACTCACACAACTGGATCGGACAATCTTTGTCACGACTCATAACACTGTAATGAGTTTTAACAAGTCCATGGTTTGTTAGGAGCATTTTTCTATTGGTTTTTGCACTTGGCGCTCTAGAGACGGCGTTGCAAGTCTCCACGGTAACACCGGTCAAGGAGATCAGCGTTAATGTGCCCGGACAACGAACAGTAGGCAATAGTGTCGACCAGTTAGAAGCCATGCGGTCCAAACAAAATCTGTCTGACGAAAAATGCGCAAACAAGCAGTTGGTGAAGATCCGTTTAACAGCTTTAAAATTCTTTGTACGTATTATTTTTACTCTTGTTGATGTCTTCCAGTGAATAAATCGGTACTCCAGGGACATTTTTCCTGACCAAGAAGAAGCAAATTTAAGTGGTACGGACACAACATGAGCAACTTTGTAGTGTTCGGAATATCGACCAATCACGAATTACCGTCGCAAATGAAGCACGAAATCGCACTATCAACCCTAAGCTGGAGTCTTCCGTCACCGAGACGTACGAAAAAGCTCACAGAAGTTGCGCTTAGTTTTCTCGAGTAATATTAATGGAACTAAATAATATGTAAGAACGAGAATCATTGGTTACACAGGTCTTCACCAGTAACCTGCTTGCATTCTTGTCACAGCTTCCGTTTGAACCGCGCGGCTTCTGATTGGTTGACACTGTTGACCTGCGGATCTTAATCCAGAAACTACAACGCTTGGCACTGTGGCTGGCGTTATTTCGTGATCTATGATCATAAATTTGCACGACGAGTAAGGTACAACCGTTGGATTCGCGCTAAAGGAAAAAAGTGATATCTGCAAACTGTTTTGATTTTCTGTCGAAAAGGACAGTTTCGTTGATTTGATTCTTTGTCAACTGTAGCTGTGTAGAGATCTTTAATAAATAACTTCTGTCGGTTAGTAAGTGCATTTCGCGATACATGTTTTTTTGGATTATTTAGGAGAACAGTCTTTTGAGAACTAAATCAGTTATCATACAAAATGCATTTCATTGTATTCGTAATGTTTAATGTTGTCCTTATTCCGGCATAAAAAACAACGAACGCAACTAATTAAGTGTTCGGTTGGAACATTGTAAGATTGTCCCGAGCCTCAATCGTAAGTAAGTTAGTCCACATATTTGTGTAGTATATCTCATTAAACAAGTAATGACCATCGTTTGAGGATTGCATAGACTTATGCACCACGGTAGTTAAGTTTAGTCTGGTTCATTTGAAGTTATTTACCATTTATGGGTGAGAAAGATATATCGGAGGAAAGTACACAGACAGATTAGTGGGGCTTGGAGTGGATCAATTTATCTAATTCAGCAACATGAACATTTTGTCTGGAACCGGTAGGTGACAATTGCTTTCGTGAATTATTTCTAAATGACGAATTAAATGTTAAAACACTACTTTTTATACGGAACATTATTTTTGCATATTGTTTGCTGAAGCAAATTGTCCAAGTGCGTGGAAGAATTCTAGTCGATGAAGTGCCATGTTCACAGTATTGCACGACATCTTGACTGTTGGTGTTAACCCTAGCCTATGGGATGACACAAACCACGGGGTGACACGCTACAGTTTCGGGACAGCTGTAATGAGTCAAGCTTCCCAGATTATACCAAAAAGGCGCCTACGTGGACAACGAACCACAGGCCGATTGTGTCGACCAATCATAAGCCAAGCGGCCTAACCAGAAGCTGTATGACGTCAAGAATACGATCACGTGATTGGTAGATGCCTGGATAACCAATAAACTTCTCTTGTACATGTAATTTAACCCCCTTGATTTCTTCCGATAAACGAACTGCTACTTCTGCGGCCTTTCCATTGCTTCTCGGTTACTTAGGACACCGTCGTGCAAGTGCTTACGTGGCGTCCCTGATTCGTAGTTTGTGATCAGTGCGTACCTCAATCATTGCAATGTTCGCATGAATGACACCGACAAATCACTAAACACAAAATGGTAAATATTTTGTCACTATTAAAATATTTTACACAGTAACGTGTTAATTTTTTCATACGCAGTTTGTGAATGAGTTCGCCTGATTACAATAAAAGTGATTAATAATGTAAGGATATTCGTGATTTACATGTCCAACGTGAGAGATGATAAAAGGATGTGCAACATTTACTAGTTATGTGCACTATTTACATGGCGGAAAGCATACATAAGTTCATTGGGATATAATGAAACCGCGTTAAATTATCGGTTTAAACGAAATTCTAGTCGAGAAACCGTGAAAATCTAAAAAGAGATGCATCATGAACCAGGTGATAGCAATCAGCAACATGTAGTTGACTATTGGGACGATATTGGCTGGCTACTGAGCTACATAAACTCTACAATTTTGGTGTCATAGCTCATTTGTAGCTGGCTATTAGCTGACGACGTGATGCGTGAGTACTTACCGCTATCCGTGGTCGATCTTCGGCACTTTTCTCTGAAACGGCTTGTTCCGCTGACGTTTCACATTCGTCGGAGGTCGTCTCTATGTCGTTCTTGTGTGGGGATAGTCATTTGGGTCAGGGGAAATTGAAAGGTGCATAGAATGAAAGTGACATGAATATTTTTGCATGAGACTATAGGAAGATTTGCTTCAATTCGTGTATAGAGCAAATGATGCATGAACTGAAAAGTTAGGAATCACTGTACAGCTGTTTCGACCTGGTTCGGTTTCATCAGCAGTGCGAATAAATCGAACCCGGGACCTCACAGGAAGAACGCAAGCACCCTAACCAGTCTCTGTAGATTATTGACTCACTGATTCATTCTATCACTGACTCGTTTTCTCACACAGTCACAAAACGGAATGCAATCACGCGTCCTTTCATTTCATTTATCATCCCCCATTTCACCGCTGGTCTCAAAATGAATTAGAGTTCAAAATTGGTTCTTGTATAATACAACGAAATTTATCCTTTTCGAAAGACTCGGTCAATTAAAAATTAAATTAAATTAAAGTAAACTTCGTGCCCAAAGTGGTTCTCGCTTACAACTCGGGGGTAGGGGAAAATGCGTTAAAAAGAAGTACGTCCATGACATTGTTGTTACTCAGCTTAGTGGGATGCATCAGATTCCCAGCCTGGATGTTTATTCCTTTTCGAGCCGATTTTGTGTGGGGATCCTAGCCTACGAGATAACACCGGTCACGAAGCGACGCGATTCAGTTTCTGGACAACGAACCACAGGCCAATCGCACCGACGAAATCAAAAGCTGTGCGGTACAGACAGAAGCTGTGTGACGTCTAGAATACAAACAGACGATCGTAGGATACCTGGATAACCAATAAACTTCCTTTGTACATGTTATTTAATCCTCTTAGTTCCTTTCAATAAGCGATTTCCTACTTCTGTGGCCTTTTTCTTGCGTCTTGGTAACGGAAGGTACTGTGGTGATTGTGTATAAACTGAGCATTCTTGTTTCTTTACACGATCGATTGCTTTGTACATTTTCGTCGTGTAATATAATTCGACTTCGAATATTCTGGTGGTCTATGTCATACTGCGCACTATACCATTTTAAGTTAGATTTGAGAAACTATACTTTTCATTTATCAATGATCTCCTTTCCCAAACTTCCAACCCGATTCATTCTTTTGCTGATGACGCCATCCTCCACTGCTCCCTCTCCTACCGCACTGCTCGCTTGCCCAAGCCAACATCAATGGTGATCGTAGTGCAGTTAATGTGTCAGTGAAATCCGATCTCGAACACCTCCTGGGCATTACAAACCATGTTTAATTCAATAGTTCTAAAACCTTTCGACTTTCAATTTCTTTAAAACACAATTCATTCTCTCCTCCCCCCACCACTCCCATTCATCTTTTAATTCCACCCAACTGCACTCCACAGACTCTGCCTCCCTTTTTGGATTGCCTATAACTTCTTCGTTATGCTGGTCCCCTTTTATAGCTAAGCATACTTCTCGTGCTGCACCCAAGGTTTGATTTCTATTTCGCGCCGGACGTTTTTTCACCCCAACTGATCTTCTATTGTACAAAGCTCAAATCCGCCCTGCTCTTGAATACTGTAATCACGTGTGGGGTGGGGCTTCGTCCTCTTCCCTTTCCTTGTTCAACGAAAGCCATCCGGTTAATCGACGATCCAAACCTAACATCCGGTCTGCGGTCGCTACCCCTTCGTCGGGCAGTTGCTTCATTGTTTGCGGTCTACCGCTAATACTTGGTTTTTGTTCCTAGGAGCTTGCCTCGGCAATTCCTCTTCC